CACAAACCTGGTTTTATTACCAAAGAAAAAAGAAGTTACGACCTTTGCGGACATGAGACCAATAAGTCTTAGCAACTTTGCTAACAAGATTTTCTCTAGGGTTATTCATGAGCGGTTGGTTGAATTATTACCAAACATAATCTCAGAGGAACAGGCAGGTTTTGTGAAGGGCAGAAGCATAGTTGAGAACGTGCTGCTAACTCAAGAAATCATTAAGGATATCAGGTTGAGAACAAAAGCAGGTCCAAACGTTGTGATTAAGCTTGATATGACANGAAGCACTTTCTCGGGGATTGAATTCACTACACACTAACCTGTATTTCTGTGGATTTGGAATGCCTAGATGGAGCCCAAAAATAAATCATCTATCATACTCTGATAATATGATCATTTTCTGCTCATCTGATGAAACTTCATTGAGACTTGTCATGGAGGTTTTGCAAGCTTATGAATCATCATCTGGTCAACTGGTGAACAAAGCCAAATCAGCCATATACCTGCATCATTTAACGGATAATGAGGTGATTAACAAGGTGGAAAGGATTACAGGCATAAGAAGACAAGGTTTCCCTATGACCTATCTCGGATGTCCTATTTTTTATGCAAGAAGAAGGGGAGACTATTACCAGGGATTAATCACCAAGGTTATGGACAAACTGTAGTCATGGAAATTCAAACTCCTATCTGTAGGAGGTAGAGCGGTTTTGATCGCAAATATCCTGCAGAGTATCCCAATTCATATGTTGTCAGCAATTAATCTACCAAGTTATGTGATCAACAAATTACATAGCATTTTTGCCAAGTTTTTCTGGAGCAGCAATGTGGGAGGCAGCACTAGACATTGGGCGTCTTGGACTAAACTTTGTATGCTTTATGAGGAGGGAGGCATAGGTTTCAGGTCCCTGCATGATGTATCCAAGGCACTATTCTGCAAATTGTGGTGGAATTTCAGGACAAAGCCCAGTTTGTGGAGTGCATTTATTAGTCAAAAGTACTGCAAGAAACTAAATGCAGTAATTGTACCTTGGAAGGGTGGATCCCACGCGTGGAGAAAAATGCTAGAATGTAGGGACTTGATTGAGCATCAAATCTACTGGAAACTGAGAATGGGATCAGCTCTATTCTGGTTCGACAATTGGACTAAGATGGGAGCCTTATATTTTCAAGTACCTGCAGAGTTTTTTATCGATGAGGATATTCATAATGTCAATGATATAGTTGAAAATGGTATGCGGAATGTGGATAAAATGTTTGAGAGCCTACCTGAAGATTTGGCACACCACATTGTGCAGAATATTAGACCACCAACTGAAAGTTCACAGTTAGATACTCCTTTCTGGATGCTTGAAACAAGGGGACATTTTACAGTAAAGTCTGCATGGGATTACGTACGAAGAAGAGCCAACCCAAGATTAGCTTACAAGATGATATGGGTAAAAGGTTTACCTTTCAAGATATCCGTCTTCCTGTGGAAGGTGTGGAAAGCCAAACTGCCACTTGATGATTTCTTGCGTAAAATAGGATACTCAATGCTATCTAAATGTTGGTGCTGTGCTGATCCTAAGGAGGAGTCATTACTACATCTGTTCTTCACATCCAATGCAGCTAGAAGTGTTTGGACTTACTTCCTGAGGAGAGCAGGAATTGCATTAGATGGGTTGTCACTACATCAAGCAATTACAAAGTGTTGGACAGCACCAGTTGTACCTAGATTGAAGCCAGTATTACAAGCTTTACCTACATGCACTGTATGGGATCTTTGGAAGAGAAGAAACAGTTTGAAATATGGAGAAGCAGTGTCAGTGAGCAGAGTTATTTACCAGGTGTCATCTACTGTGTAAGCACTTGTCCAACTGAAAAAGCCTGGACTACGTGTGGCTCAGAAGTGGCTGGACTTACTGACAATGATGGAGCACTACACACCTCGACTGAAATATGATAAAGTTTTATAGGAATTTCCTTCAAGAGGATGGATCAAAGTGAATACGGATGGAGCATGTAGAGGGAACCCAGGGAGGAGTTCAATTGGTTTCTACATAAGGGATGAGGTAGGTGATTTGATATATGCAGAAGGAAGGGATATTTCTGAAGGAACCAACAATGAATCAGAAGCGGTAGCTATTGTGGAGGCATTGAAGATGTGCAAAAATCTTAATTATTTCCGGATATGGTTGCAGACAGATTCTATGCTATTAAAGAACATTATAGAGGAATCATAGAAGCCTTCTTGGTATATTACTGAACATGTAGAGGAGATTTTAAGATTGAAGGAACAAAGTATCATTAAGGTCACACACATATTCAGAGAAGGGAATACATTAGCAGACCACCTTGCCAATTATGTTCTAGATGAAGTAAATACTAAATGCCATGGTTTCTGGGATATGGACTCAAAAGGAAGGAGGATTATTAACGAAGATAAGATGCAATGTCCTTACATAAGAGTGAAGGTTGCAATGAATTAGGAGGAAAAGATGATTCTTTTGTTATCGGACTCGAATCATTCTTGAGGAGAGTTTGGATAGCAATTTTTCCGCTAACTTTGTTCACTTCTTTGCAGGTAATTCATCGAAGCTAAAGCCTAATCTTATAGTTGAATCTCAAGTGGTGGTATTAATGCATTGCATTCAATCCACTTGGAGGACATTAAAGGTGGGCTTTGGCACTTTTACAATGTTCATTTCATGGTTGTCATCCACATCAAAGGGAAGTATTGAAATAGCATGGGAAAACAAGATGGGCACGTGAAGTTCTGGACAGTAACAGATACCAAATCGTTTAGATTTTGCACCAGCACGCTAGGGAATTTGTAGGAAATGCAATTCTTTAATTGTTTATTGCTGGAACATGAATGGCACTCGGCAGGATCTGGTCAAGGGAATGGAAAAAGAATTAAGCATGCGTTTTGGAAACAAAATACAAATTAGCTTTACGACAAAAGTTGTAAGCTCACATTATGGACGCTGCAAACATCCGGCTAATTTTAATAAATCGAACTAAGCATTGTGGGATGTAGTGATTTCGAGAAACCCTTTCATGTGCGCACATGGTTTAATGTGGAAAACGTGGAAGACAAAACATGGTGTCGAACAAAAGTATCACATGGGAAAGTGTAATACACATGGAAATCTGTGGTGGTACTTTGGGATACAATTCGTATGCTTCAGCTGTAAGTGGAGGCCACTTGATTTTGGATTCTACAAGCCTTTCTCTATGGATTATATAACTGGTCTAGGCAGCGCAATCGAGAATGCAAGGAATCAAAAGGACTGCAGGGACGGAAGAATCAGCGCACGAGTGCAGTTGCCTGTTCAAAGAATCTTGATGCACGCATGGATGGTGGCAACTGTTACAACCAAAGTAGCTGGGGCGTGCTATTTTGGGAGTACATTTTAAATTCCAACAGGGAGGCACGCCTGGTTTCACATGGAAATGCACGCTGGAAATGTAATGCATATTGGACATGAATGCTTTGACATTTGAGCATGCACTACATTTGTTAAGCAATAGCGACAGAAGAGTCAGCGCACGCGTGCAGTTTCCTAGGAGGCACCACTAGGTCGACATTACATGTTCTCTGCAGATAAAGCGTGGCTAATGAATTTCAACTATCTTAAGCTGGAACAATAGATTGGACGCATGAATAATGCAGCAGCACCAACAAAGGAATGGACTGGACATTGCGATCGATAAGCCACATAGAAAAGAGTTATGTATGCAAACAGCAGGACCTAAATTGCAACTGGATAGAAGCAAATGCGAAGGAGAAAGGCGTATACTAATGCATGAATTGTATGGGCTGGCTTTTAGTTATACAAATTTTATTAGACTTTGTGTGATATCAACTTTGAGTACATTACTCAACTTTGATAATAGGTCTTATGTAGTTTACAAAATTTATTTCGTGCACTTTCATGACACATTGTTTCTCCTTTTATATATTAATAAAAACTAACCCTAGGCTATGCCTAGTGGATTGCTTAAAAAAAATTGGATGTTGACACACAAGATACTTGCATGCAAGACTGCACCATGGCACTTTATATTGCCAACTCCTTAGTGAAAACCAATGCCATACAAAATGACTCTAGTATGGACGAATCTACCCCTACCACTAATCCTACCCCTACTGCCCCAAACCCCCTCCTTAAACCGAAATCTCTCCAAAATATTTCATTATCTAAAGAATCTACCCAAAATCCATCCTTAAGATATGACAAGATCTCCCCCTCCATGCATATTAGCCAAATGGCAAAGACCATAGAAGAAAGTAACCAAATGGACACTCCCATTGGTAATCCAAACAAAACCTTTAAGTGTTCTATAAAACATGACCTAAGACAATCAATAGCCATAGACAAAAACGAAGCAATCATCACCTCCCCACCCAATCGGCTAACCTCTCCTCCTACCCAAAATCCCACGCCAACTTCCAGTGCAATAAATTCAACTTGTTTTAACCAAAATGCCAAGCGTTCCTTCAAACCTAAGGAGAAAAACTCGACTAATCCAAATCCTGAGACAACGACACCCTCTGCAAATGGAAAACATTCCCCCCCTCCATCCCCACGAATAGCCCCAAATTATTTACGCTCATACTCCCCAAGCACAAGATTATCAACCCACGAGTTGGATGGAGTTAGGGATCATAGGTCATGCACTCTCGTTCACAGTGTCGATCAACGGCCAAGAAGCCATTGTGTTCTTGCACAATACTAAATATCTATCTCAACTTATCACAGAGGGAATGAGATTGGCAATGAACAATTATCTCAACCAAGTATGGCTCAACAATGTCATTCATCCCATATCTCCATCATTGAACCCTAAAAGGCCCAAACAATGAGAAAACAATGGAATACCTCCTCAATTCAACCCCATGCACCCTCTAAATGCACCACTGGACCTCCAATTCTTTCCAAAGGAGATGTACACCTACCTAAACCCCATCTTTCTCCCTTGGGATGTCAATCTAGGGAACCAAGGGATGGTACCCCCCCCCCCCACCAGTACCCCCACCGCAACAACAAGAAGACCCCATACTAGGGTCAATGGAGGCAGAGATGGAGGAGGACGATGTCCCCCTAAATCTTCACTTAGGGCCAACCCTAGAAATCTCAAACCTAGACGGAATAAAAATCTTTCTCTTCACGGAGAGGCACGAGAAGAGGTATGTTTTCAGCTGCCCATTAGCCCTATACAAGTGCTCGATAGATATTCTCCCTCCACACGACCCAACTGTGGAAAACAAAGCAATGATCCTAGTTCCATCAATGAGGAGGAATCATGTCCAAGTGGGGGGATAAGGGAGAATGGGGAGATGAACAACACTGACTCTAATTTAGCCATGAATCAATCCAATAATTTCATAATATGGAATATACGGGGAGGAAACAATGACAACTTTAGGAGGAACTTTAGGGAGATGCTAGATACTCATAGGCCGAGCTTGGTTACTTTGTTGGAAACAAGGATGAACAACCATGCTGCCATGCTCAATGAATTTGGTTTCACTGAGATGATAGAAGTTCCATCGGAGGGGAAGTCAGTTGGTATGGTTATGATATGGAGGGTTATGATATAATCAACGTCCAAAATGATGTTAGAAGAGGTCAGGAGATCCATGCAACCATAGAGGTACATCCTTTACGTAAACCTTGGCTCTTTACTTTGATTTATGCTAGTACCAATATTCATTATAGAAATATCATGTGGGATAACCTTGAAAATATTAGTAATACTTATAAAGGACCTTGGCTAGTAGGTGGTGATTTTAATGACATTTTAACCGCTAGTGAGAAATTTGGAGGCAAACCAATCAAAGATAGTAGAGCTAAATATATTTGGTCTAAAATTAATAATTGTAACCTAGTTGATCTAGGATTCAAGGGAAGCAAATACACCTAGACCAATAATAGACATAACAATAAGAGTCTTATTTTAGAAAGACATGATAAGGTTTTTGGAAATGAAGAATAGATTGAACTTTTTTCTAAAAGCTCTATTATCCATCTACCTAGAACCCACTCTGATCACAATCTTATCCTAGTTGAATTAATTCCTAGAAATAGAACTCCTCATAAGGTCCCTTTTAGGTTAGAAACCTTTTGGTGTAAACATCCGAAGTTTCAATCTGTTGTTATAAACTCCTGGAATAATAGTAACTACTTTAAGGCTAGCTCTAACTTTATAGATAATATTAAACCTTGGAAGGACAACACTTTTGTAAATATCATGGGAATGAAGAGAAAACTCTTAGCTAGACTCCAAGGCATTCAATCTTCTAACAGCTACGCTACTAGCTCATTCCTAAAAAAATTAGAATTAGATCTTCAACATGAGTTCAATGATATTCTAAAGATAGAAGAAGACTACTGGAAACT